CAACAATAGTGAGTGTGTGTGGTTGTTTCAACAAGTATGGATGACCAATTAAGTATATATTATCTAAACAACACAATGAATAGCACAATATATCAAACTAAGCCATTAATCCTTCTTTTAAGCTCACAATCCAAACATATCACATGATTAGAGAAATATACTACTTACATTCATAAGTATGGAACATCAAATAACAAGCATGGATTGTCCTCCCATTTAACAACTAAGGTAACTATACTACATCTAAGCTAATGACATGAAAATTAAACTAATTAAACTAAAGGAGAGGCACAATCTATCAAAAAATGAGTATGAACCATCAAATAAACCACAAGAGCATTCTATTAAGCACTATGTCTTGACAATCTCTAGATCCATAGCATCAACACTCATAGACATGCATTAACAACACAAGAGCTAGAGATAAACACATGAACATCTATTTTAGCATACATAGACATATGGATAAAATGAAATGATCAATTGGAAGAATTAAACCACGCAAATAATTGAATAAACAAGATCTATGTATATAAAAATGTCAAAACATGTATTACAACACAAATCTCCTCAAAAATGCATAAATCAAGGTAAAAAAAGCATACTTAGGGCTAACTCTAGCCCCAAGAGGATGTCTAGCCACTCATGGATGGTGTCCTCTAACACTCAAGGGCTATCTCCATGGTAGAAATGCTCTTCTTCTTGAGGTAGATGGAAGACTGTCCAAGAATGTGTCTCTAACCTCTTCTTCTCTTTTCTTCCTCTCTAAGAATGATATCAAATGTTGTATCTAAAAAAACATATATGTAAAAGTGGCTCATAATCCTTATATAGGTAGCTTAAATGTCACACCCAATGGTCTAGGCTCATACACAAGGGCTCCTCCAATGATTGCACCGTGAGACAACTTTTAATGAGTTGGAAATTGATTTAATTCGCACTTGAGAGGGTTCGATCGATTGAACCTATGCTGAGATCGATCGAACTTGACTGAGATCTATCAAACTTTGGCTGGATCAATCCTCCCATGGCGGCGCCTATTTGGATAAAGACAAATTTGAGATATTTTGGGAAAGAGACAAAAGTAGTAGGTGGGGTGGTACAACAGGATAAGATGAAATCTTTTCGATCGATCTGATAAATGTTGGATCGATCAAACATTGTGAGATCTTTGGATAAGGACAAAAGAACTTAGATCCATCTTGGAGTGCAAAGATCGATCTATGTCAAATCGATCGAAGAAATTCTGTGATCGATCGAACTTTGCTGAACTTCCACCACTTACTTCATTTTGCTTCCACTTTGCCCCTTTCTTTCATTTATCTCAAGATTGATTTAATTATGCTCTTATTTGGCTAAATTAGCTTATTTTGGGGATAAGTGCCTGAAAACATAAATAACATGAAATCAATCTAAAGTAGGAAAATAAGATAGATAAAGGTCCTAGAATACCTAAGCTTAATGGGTTTAAATGCACACTTTTCAGTGCTCATCAAAGTGCATGTGACCAAGCTTGGTTCGTGGTAGAATAAACCATCATTAGTGCTCGATGGTTAAAAATCTCATGGGACCACCTTGGACACGGTGGACTCATTGATTGTAGAAACTTCATTGGACTTGGAGTCATTCTTAGTGTGTAGAGATTTACCAGGCTATGGTTTCGGAGGATCGAACATTGGTCTTAAACAACTAGTGCCCCCGAGGGGTTGCTGGGGGAGAAAGACCAGAAACCTGGCTAGCTCGATATACCAAGGTTGGTACGTCAGTTTTTTAAACCTTGTCATTATATGTAGATTGACGATTGATATCGTGTGATCCACTATTCTGCCCCCAGTATGATGGTGGGATCTTGTGTAACCCATTATATAGACGTTTATACAGTGGACGGGATGTCTGGTGCTGTAACAATTTATAGCTGTCTAAGACGTTAGATTGTGTTAGAAATGATTACTGAAAATTAACCTATAATGAATTATTGATCCAAAATTCTGCATAATCTGGAGTAGATGGGCATTTTCTACAAGGGAAGAGAGGAAACGATCGGCGTCTGGTAGGTGGAGGCTTGGTGTCCAACGATCTGCTTGATGGCTGGTGGATGGGGGCGTGGTGCTCCATGTCTGACAGATAATGGTCTGGTGACCATTAGTTGAGTACCTTGTTGGGTCCAATAATCGCCCTTGACTTAGGAACCTCCTTGGGAATACAGACCTCATTGGAAATGGGATCTTGAGGGACATTGGACCTCATTGGAGGTGAGGGCCTCAATACATTCTTGGGTGTAGAAGGCCACCCTGATTTCACGATCGGGTGGAGTAATGAGACTCCGTTGCTAGAGACATTCTCAATGGCAGATGCTTTACTAGTAGGTAGAGACCCCCTTATTGGTAGTGATTTCCTTGGTGGGTGGAGACCCACTCGTTTATGTAAGTGCGGAAGGACCAGGCCTTAGCCTTCGACGATCAGGCCTTGGTAGTTGGCTTCTGCTAGATAGGAGACAATGTTTGGTCTTAGGCGACCAAACCTCAGTAGTGAGGGGATCGAGCATCGCTTGATGGAAGACACCACATTGGACTACCTAGGTTGATATGCCAAATTTTGACTATTGTCATCGTACACTGGGTGGCATCACGCACCCTACTATTTTGCCTCCAATATGATGGACGGGGAATCATGATGTAGAGACCTGTCCTTATATAAGAACGAGGAAACCGTTGTCAACGGATGGCTTTGGGATGGTTTCCATGACCGGAAATCTTCGTCTTGCCATCCGAACCAAGTTGCGTTAGAATTATTATTGTTTCAGGGAACTAATCGTTCCCACAGACGGCGTCAGCCGTTGATGCAAAATCCTTGCGACTCAGATTGACGGCATTTACCTGCAAAACAAAGGGACGTCACCTCGAATGGCACCGGTGGGGTGTCGGCCGAGGACCCTCCGATGATCAATTTAGTACTTGTAATCATATCACAGAATAATTATGTATTCAATATTTAGGGGTTTTTTCTCATACTTTCTTTAATGGCTCGATACCCTATTTATGGTTGTCGATTGGAATCAAATTGGTTCAGCCGATGTCGATGGTTGAGATCTCCCTTATCATCAATAACGGGATCTTGAGTTGATGAAGTTGGTTACGATATTAAGGTTTACCTTATCCCCTTAGTTAGTTGAACGACAATAACTATATATCCTCAAGTTGAAGAAGAATAGCGGCGAGTCAACCCTAGGGTTACTTTTTTCCTATCAATGGCAATAAACACACGTACTTATAATATATATATATATATATATATATATATATATATATATATATATATATATATATACAACAATTTGTATGGTAATAATAATTTGATTATGTCCCATTCTATAAAAAAGAAAAGAAAAGAAAAGAAAGAATTTTCTATATTGAAACTCATAAACTTGTTTATTTTATTATTATATTATTTTTGGGCTCGTGTGCATACATGGTAGACTCTGTTAAGCTCAATCTAAATAACCAAAATTTTAATTCATGGGTGCAATCAACTCTCACATTCTCTAAAATAACTTTGAAGATTTCTTAAAATATGACATGGTTTTTGATATTGTTGGGACATAATTATTTTCAAAGTTATAAGTCTTAAAAGAAGTTTTATCAAGAGAACAAGAAATGCAATTGAGGTATTGGATGTTATAAAAATATTAGGTTATTGTTTTCCAAATGCTTGGATTGCATATAGACTATTATTGAATATTCCAGGTATAATTGTATTTGTTGAGATAAGCTTTTCAAAGTTAAGTTAATCAAATCTTATCTACGGTCGATAATATGTTAGAGAAACTTAATTGAAGTACTTTAATTGACAATTTTGCATCACTTTTATTTTGATGTGAAATTGAATTTTGATTTTTGTGACTAAGTTGTGTTGAATATTTCTTTTAATTTTTTGATGTAAACTGGATCGTGCTCTTTATAAAGTACCAATATCGATTTTTGTTTTGTATGTTTTCAACATTAATATATTTTGTATTTATCGTCTAATTTTAATGAAAATTTCACATTCTTATAAATTTTTGGTGTGTGCGAAATCTTATGTATAAAGGGTCTTACATTTGAAAGTTCGCCTAAGACCTCTCAAAATTTTGAGTGTCAGGCCAGCCCTGCCGCAAAATAATTAGGTTTTTTATAGTTTTGGATGCTTATGTGTATTTTTTTTTTATTAACTAAGCACCATGTCAGCATGCTATATCAGCCGTCACATAAATTCATGACATGTACCTCGAAATTTATTCGCGACATGTAGACTCTTTTGTAATTTCATCTTAGGAGAGAAAAGAAATAGAGCAGCTGAGGATAATAGTGGAGCATCCTAAGTCACACAATATTTCTCAATGGGTGTCGCTCTTACGCTCTTAGTGCACTTTCGTTTTTACGTTCTGCGCATGCTCTGCCTCAAATTCTCATTATTTATGGGTTAATTCCGCCGCTCTCACACTTCCGTTCTCACTCTTGCTTCATGTAACTTAAAGGGCACCAATATCAGTTCCCTATTTGAAATATGATAATTATATTGAGATAACTAAAAATAAAAAGATAGGACAACATGGGAGGGAGGGAGCAGTAGTTATCTTAATTTATTCGTTAAAATTCATTCAATATTTCATCAATTAATATTCTGAGTCTTTTATTTTTTTTTTTTAACTATAAGTGTTTTCAAAGTTATTTATTGCTCGTTGCAAGTGATTCGTTATTTATGAATATATTGATGGCACTTTCATAATCCAAGTTGAGCTCGATTTTAAATTTCAAACCCAATATTAAGCTCGATTTTAGTTCAAGACTGATAAACGATGAATAATTGATTATAGTTCCAAATGGAGTAAAATTTTACTCTATTATACCAAAAATAAAAAAAAATAAAAAAAAAGGGGGTTATTTTAAGGCCGAATGAATTGATAATGAACTGTTCTTAAAATATAAAGTCAAACTCGATTTTGACAAATAAACCATTTATTTCCATTTTTGTTTAAACCAAAGATAAAAGATAATCTCAGCTTCTCCTTCAAGTCCAAATGAATGGCCAATAGCTTCGCAATTGAAAACCAAAACCCTAAGTCCTGTCTTAACAAAATGATTCTTCATCCACTATGTTCATTCATCCCTTGTAGTCGCAACCTTTGCTGCACTTCCAATCAAACTTCACTTGCTAATAAATTCACAATCTTCAACAACAATGTCCAACAAAAGTCCAATTCTTCTCAGACCCCTCAAGAATCAAACCTAAAACTCCCTGAATCCTTGTGTGCCCACACAAGATTCTGCTCTTGTGGAAGAAGACATTTCATTGAAGCACTTGGTACCACTTTCTTATCAGTCCCTCCTTCCAATGCTTCCCAGTTGCACCCTGATCCCACTGTACTGTACATCTCTCTCTCTATATAATTATATACTACGTATATATATATATATTACATACTATATTATATGGGTATTTTTCATACCATGTGAAGAAGTCAAAACAAATGTGCAATTTTATTTATTTATTTTTAAAAAAAAAAAAATTTGACCCATAGTTACACAACATGTCACTGGTGCCACTCGAACTCTCAACATCCCCTTTTGTGGGAGGAGAGAGGCTCGCTCAAGTAGTTTTCTTAGAGTTAATTTTCTCTTAACTTGATTTCTTGGTGTATTGGGTAGTACTTACATGAGTAAATTGGAGTGATTGTGGAATGGAAGTGACATGTTCTATATACATTCATTATACAGGCCATGTTGAAGAGGGTTCACCCTCCTAGGCCAGATTGGTATGAGGAATTCTATGCGTCAGTGTTGGATTCGAGCATGAAATCTTATGAGAAAGAGGTTAGTGATCATTTAGGATCAATTGATTCGGACCCAGATGGGTATTAATTCTAAGTTTTAGTGCATTTCTAAGCTGTGCCTGTTATTTGGTAAGATTGCAGGTTATAAGTCACAGCTCTTTTCTAATTTGAGGGGAAAGGCTCAGAATGTGTTGGAAATTGGCATTGGGACAGGTCCTAATCTCAGATATTATGCGGCTGATGCCGGTGTCAACGTGTTTGGCATTGATCCCAACAGAAAGATGGAAAAGTATGCTCGGGCCGCGGCACTTGCTGCTGGATTACCTCCCACAAATTTTGAATTTAAACTAGCGGTAAGTTTCTCTTCAGTATGGCTTTACTTATTATTGAACTCCCACAAAGTGTTAATTATGAAACTTACTTAAAATTATGTATTTGGAAGCAAAACAACCTTTTAGTTGACTGGATTAGAAATGCTCAATAAGTTCTTTGTCTAGATGGTGTTATCAGCAAAGGTTATCGATGAGGTAGTAACACAAGTCATGACACTGGCATTTAGCATGTGTTGTGTCTGACACTTTTGGTTGGATGTGATCCTAAATAAGTCATCTAATAATTCAATTTTATTATATTATTGCTTCAAAATGAAATGAAATACTTATGTTAGAATCTATGTTACATGAAGTCATCCTTTTACTCTAGAAAATAAAATAAAATATTAAATAACATGAATATTTAGCAATGTCCATGTGTCTTTCTGTTTGAAGATTTGACACATTCAACGCATGGATAATACTCGTACTTGAGTCAACATAGGCATGTGGCATGCTGTTGTAGAGAAAACAAAGTTGCAAGGGATTACTATCATGTAATGACTTTCAGCTCTGGGATATTCAGTATGGTGCTTCTGAGGCTTTTTAGGTAGTGTGATTGGCATTATAGACCTCAACTTAAAGTGTTGGACCTGTTTCTGTATTTGCAGACTAAACCAAGACGATAAGAGGAATGTTTTCTAGGAATTACGTAACGTAGCTTCTCTATCTGAAGTAAATACAATGTTCTTAGTAACTCAATTACTTTGTCTTCCTCAGCAGGCCTAGTTTTACCATACTTCTACTTCCAGTGCGAGAATAACTAAATAATTTTGGAAATATTTTTTATAGGGTTGCTTCATTGAGATGACTGTTCTTAGATGTTTTCGGTGATTAGATCATTAGAAAGGGTTTGATCGTTTTTAATCCATGTAGCAACAACACGGGCTCCATCCTTGAAAGTAAAAAAAACAATTTTAGGAATTTTGAAGTTTCAAGTATCTGTAGGATAAGTTTTGTATCAGACATCTTTGGTAATAGATTTGTGAAGGTACTATTCTGGTAGCAGTGATTCAGTCCTGTTCTTTTTGTGGAGGCATTATAAGTCATATCTTACTCATACAGTATTAAATTAAACTATTTGTTTGTTTCTTTATATTATTTATATTTTAGTCAAGAAAGTGTTTAAAATTAAGAGGTTGATATTCTCTAAAAATTGATGGTCTTGAATTTGTGCAGGTTGCAGAGGCTTTACCCTTAAGTGATGCTTCAGTTGATGCGGTCGTTGGAACTCTTGTACTATGTTCTGTTGCAGATGTTAATATGACTCTGAAAGGTATATAAGCTACTATGGTTTCATCTTATTTAGTCAACTTGTCATGTTGAAGTTCATATAGGGACCTCAGATTCACAAAGAGACCGCTGAAAGAGTGAAAGTAAGCTTACTGTATTATTTCCATACATTTTTCAGTAAGCTTTATGATCTGATTTGTGAAGTTGAGAAATAATGAATCAGTTCTTGTGCTCTTTGGTAGTTCCATTAGCTTTTAAAGAATGCAGACATTGAGGAATAACTTGCTGTATGTTTTAAACTTCTGAATGAGGCTCCCAAAGTGTAAAAGGACTTCATTAATTGAGTAAAACATTTAGAATGTGTTAGGGTGCCTAATGTAAATGAACTATCCGATTGTAATTTTTTCGGAATCTGAAGGCACACTGCCGGGAACACGTAAAAATGATAATAAATTCTTGAAATGAAGCCAATTATAAAATCTTAAATATGAACTTACAGATGTTTTTACTTAATTCAAACGCCATTTTAATTATAATTTAATGATTCCAATTCCAAGGGGCTTCAGAAAGCCCCTTTAGTGCTAGTCAATTACCTGAGTTGGTTGAACTAATAATGACTTCAACTACCCAAACCCGAACTGTTTGTAAACTAGCCAATAATCTGAGCTACTTTTTTTATTTTTATTTTCTTTTTTCCATATTTTCTGTTGAATGTAGCAAAAATTCAAGATCTAACCAAGCCATTTTTATATGGAGACATAATTTTTATACATATTAATGGTTCGAAATCTGAGCTGCTAATATTCAACATTTACCAATTTGCTTCAGAGGTTAGGAGGGTGCTTAGACCGGGTGGGCTTTACATATTTGTGGAGCATGTAGCTGCAAAAGGTATTCAAGTGGAAACTCATTTTTCCTTCACCGCCCATTGCTAAGCTAGTTCAAATTGAAATTAATGGATGTGTTTTTCGTTGTTGGCTGCTAGATGGAACAATTCTCAAATTTTTTCAGGGTGTTCTTGATCCCATTCAGCAGACAGTTGCCGATGGGTGTCACCTCACCAGGAAAACAGGGAAGAGTATATCTGAAGCAGGGTTTTCGCGCGTTGACATCAACATGGCTTTCTTGTCCAGTGCCTCGCTTATAAACCCTCATGTGTATGGAATTGCTTTCAAGTAGGGCCGAAATCGAAGCAATGGTGTAATTCTTGTTAACCTTGTGGTTTGGAGCCAAAAGAGCAATGTTGTTGTAGCTTTTGATGGCCAGCTCAAAAGTGTTGTGCACCTTAAGGTATTAATGCAATCATGAAGTTTGACTTTGGGTGCTTGTGGAGGTTATGGCTTCTTCCCAGTCATAATATAAGTTTCTTGCCATCAAATGGTAGGTGGAATTGCTTTGTCAAGATGAACTGCATTTAAATGAATAGTGGTTGGTGGAATAGCTTTGTCAAGATGAACTGCATTAAAATGTATATGGCTTATCTGTATCAGTATTTCTGGCTTGTCTCCATGAGAAAGTTTTTGGTTGAATACTCATTTCGAAAAATAATTTTCCGTTGGTTCACGTGGCATTCAACCACCGGCCATTAGGGCTTACACCGGGACATTCCTAGCCTCGATTTCCCAGCATTGTGATGCAGTGATTTTATGATAGAATGATTTTGAGCATTATAAAATCCATTATTCCACGTTTGTCTCACCTCTGTGAAGTTCTGCAAGGAAACGATCGGAGGACTTAATCCGAGCATTACTTTGTACAAACGGTTGATTTCAGATTTATATTTGCATTATGATTTACTTTGCACAAAATGGTAGTGTTGATCTAAAAATTAAGTGGGAGCTTTCTTGTGGATTTTTTTGGGGGCTTTTGATTTTGATTTTGATTTATTCAAGTGAAGGGTGTATTAGGGATTCTCTCTACTTGGAGGTGAATTGTTGTTGACTGAAAAGACTTGTGTCTATATAATATTATATATATAATCTCTGGAAATCTTGTGATTCTAGATTTTAGCACTTAGTTGTATTTAATAGGAAACAGATAATTGAAATGATTGAACGGTTGTTGGACAAGTGGTGTGTACAGAAGTTTCAAGTTGAGATGCTTATTCTTTTTTAACATTGTGTTTGCTTATGAGCATAGTTGCAAACACTGGACCAATCAAATCCTTTTATGGTAAATCATCACTGATCAGTTAGTACATAATGACCAATTAGCAGCACCTATCTTGAAATTAAAAACTGCTTTCCCAGCTATAACACTATATTAATTTTTACTTTCTTATCATAAGATTTAAATTTTGAGTCAATTTTAAACATTAAAAATTTATACAATTGTCCCCGAGTCATGATATTCAGATACAGATACAGACTCACTAGTTAGTCGTATTTGTCAAAGTGAAATAATAAAGGTCATTGATGGTTCGAAGTAGGCCTAAAACGAGATCCACCTATAATTGATTTTCTTTAACAAATAGGCTTAACTAGTAGATCTTAATATCATTTTTTATTGACACCTTGCAATGCCGACAAAAATGAGGAAAGTGTAAAGTGATTGACCCCACACACTCTATTCACTCTCCACTCTCACAATTGATGCGGTCATGTCGGCAATTGTGGTATTGCTCTTGGGCTACAAGAAAACTGGTCAAAAATAAAAACTTCTAACCACCATAATCATTTTGAAGAAAATCTTTTATGCTCTGGCATCTCTCTCTCTCTCCCTCTCTCTCTCTCTCGTGTAGTCTATATTTATATACCATTATATGTTACGAAAAACAAGTGACTCGTTTTTCAAATGTATAATAGTTTTTTTATTTTCTATGGTGATCTTATGAATATTTCAATTATATTATTTTCTATGTTCTAAAAAAGACTATTTAAAAGCCCTTTTGTCATTTTAGTCCAAATGGTTGGTCTAATCGATTAGATCCATTGGATGTAATAAAGTGAGTCTAATCGATTAGATTCAAAATACGTAATGAAATTCGACTAATAATTTTTGTAAAAATTAAGTAATTATGTAACATATTTTATAAAATACTCCATAATGTGTTTCAAAGGAGGGAATAGCTACTAGCCTACTACTACATATTATATATTTAAAATAATAATAATAATAAAAAGTGTGCAAAAGGGGGTGTCTTCGAAAAAAAGAAGGGAATACTGGAAATAACTACAAATACGATAAAGAAGAGGGAGTTAATGGGAAGAGTCCATAGATAATCGCGCTCTCCCCGACATATTAGGGTTTTCAACTTGGTGAGCTTGCACACATTTCCTCCAATGCCCTTTCAGTCGCTCCTACACTCGCAGTCTTCTTCACCGAACGTAAGCACAGTCGCACAGAAACCCAATTATCTCTCTCTATATGTGCATATATGCATATATATTATATCTGTGTATGGCCTTTGATGGGAGAGTGAAAAAACTTTGTTAATTTTTCATGCCCTAGTTTTACAGTTGTCGCATTTTGTTTTTGGTCGAACTTCAAACTAAGACAGTCTTCAAATTTTTTGATTTCTGATTTTGCTGTAGGTGTATTGCTGAGAATTTTCTGTTTCTAGGCTTCTTTCGTATATATAGTTTTTTAAATAAAATAATAGGAATTTGTTGCTTCAAATTTGGGGCTGCTGTTATTCTTAGATGGACTATAATCGTATGCGACTCATTTTTTATTTTTTATTTTAATTTTATCCTTTGATACCTATCATTGATATTGTTGTTGTTGTGGTTGCTGCTGTTGCAGCTATTGTTGATGCTGGTGATGTTTAGAAGTGCTGACTTTTTCTTGAACATTTGCAGTTGTAAACCAAGGTTATTTGATTCCCTTCCATTTACTATGTGTGGTCGTAGAACCCTTTTGATTGAAGTTCTGATATTTAATGTTTCATGGCATTTTGTTAATTTTATTGTATGCACCACATGCTTGGATTCTCTATTACTTTCATAATTTTTAGTTGCCCTTTTACTTAGCTTTCTTGTTTTTGTATTATTTTCTCTAAGTTTGATGGATTAGTTGATTTACGCAATGATAATGGTAGGTACTGCACATGTTGCCAACCATGTGTTATTGTTGAAATGCACAGGCGTAAGGGGACCATAATGGTGCCGTTACGGTCCATTGTGGCGCCAATAACAACCCGGGTGAATATTTATAATCCTATTTCAGCCATTTTTTCAATTTTGTAGCTTTGGGCATTGGAGTCCTAGGGAACCAGAATATGACTGTATATTTAACTCAGAAACATCGTCTATAGGATTTAACTTTTGGTCTTAATCAAGGCTCTTGAATATTCCACTTTGATGGAAAGTTAAAAAATTTGTTTATTTTTTCTCCCTTATTTATTTAGAATATATTTATCAGCTCTAACTTTAATCTTTGTTTGAAGTCAAATCACAAAAATTTGTTGGTGAACTATGTCTCACTTTGTTACTTTGCTGACCTAGGTCTCTCTGTAGATCTACTCCCTCTAATTTTTTACTTATGTTACATTGAGACAATGATCTTGTCTAACTGTATTTTTACCTTGATAACTATTCATATTTGTAAGTGTTTTTTTGTCCACAAAAGTATTGAAAGGTAAAAGTTAATAAGCATTTCTTGCTGCCAGCAACTTAAAATTCAGTATAAAAATACAAAGTTAATCATTACTATTAATCAAGTTTCGAAGTTCACAACTAGGAAAAAAAAAAGATTCTGAGTTCACCATGAAGGACTGTAACCTAGTGGTATCCCCTTTATCTCCGAAAGTGGAAGGTGAGTAGGGGCAAATGGGTGTGTGAGTTTCTTGCCAAGGGAAAAAGAAAATTTCTAAGTTCTACAAAATTCATTTTAAGCCATTAAAAAAAAAAAAATTATGGAATTCTGTGGTTAAAAGTGACAAGCATATATTATAGATGTTATGTGCATAAAGGAAAAAAGTTGTGCTGTTATCTGCATCTGTATATATGTGCATTATACCCTGCACCCATGGTACAATTACCATTACCGTAAAGGCAGCTGTGACCATGATTTCATGCGATGGCTGATGGAATCCTTATCTTGCATGACTGTTTATGGTATTGCATTTTTTATTCTGATGGTATTTATCTTCTTTTGATGCAGCCCTCCCGCTGGAAATCCTGAACGGCGGTTTTGATATTCAGAATGTATTCAGTGTATGGGCAAAGTTTTATCATGGGTCAGCATACTATTCTTCTAATATAATGAAGCTTGGGTTTCTTGGATGGCAAATTCTTGCTTAGATTGTATGTAGTGCTTTTAATTTGCAAGATGTGGTGTAAACATGTGTAATTTATAACCAGAATTTGGGAGAAAATGACACAATTTTTTTGAGTTAGCCAACGACAAGCTCTAAAAAATTGTAAAGCAAGCAGAATACGTTCCGGTGAGTTCCATAAAACATAGCTAAGACGGGGTCGCTCTGTTGTGTGGCTGCAAGGCCACATGGATCTAATGCAGCTAGCAGGGAGTGGTCCATGGGTCCCCCTGAGCCCTATTGGCGAACTAATACAAGCTTTTCACCTCCCCCATCGAGATGGGATTTCCGGTTCCAGTCTGAAGGGCTATCATTTGGGTCTCATGATGGTGTTCAATTGTATGGGTCTTCTACATCATCAAACAGTAGGGAAAGTAGGAGCTGGGCGAGGGGAACTCATCTTCCCAACCATCAATATTCTACACCTGATGGTGCTGGGCCATATTTTAGTAGTCCATCGGACATCTCTCCTGCCCAACAGTGGACTCCCCCAGCAATACAAGAAATCAGTGTTGATGATTATGGAACTTCATCAAGACGAGGTAATTTAAATTGACTTTACTCCTTTCAACATTTCGTGTATTGGGATTGTCAAGACTTCCCTAAGTGCCAGTTTTTTGATTATTATGTTATTTATATATTGAAATTATGATGTGTAGGAAATTTTATAGCTGTGAAGATTGAGCTACATTTATCGTCTAATTTATTTTGGGTCGTAAAGAGTATCGCAATACTTCTGCCTGTTCTTGTTTGTGTTTTCTGTTGACTGTTTTAATTTGTTCTGCTTATATGCGATACTAAAGTGATTTGGGGTTTCTTTTCACTCCTTTATTTACTTCCAAAATTCAAAGGAGTTATAAATAGGTTTAAATATATCATTGACCAGATTGATTATACCTTACTATGTATTATAGCATGTGCATTTGAAGCTAATTTGATTTGATTACAATGAACTAATTGAGAAGTTCCCTTTATTTGTTTTATTGGCTAACCGCTGTCTGCTAAACGTGATCATCAACACAATGATGTAAAAATTGTCTGCTACATACCACTATCTTGCATTTAGTATTTAACGGTTGGTACAGCCTCTTGTCCCACATTCCCCCCCCACCCCGCGCGCGCGGCCGCCGGTTGTAAATACAATATCTTGCTTCTTTCTCTTGGTTTAGTGTTTCTAGTTAGTCCACTGACTATATATTTTCGATAGTTGGAATCAATTGTACAAAAAGATGGAGAGATGATGATGATGTAAGTAGTAGAATCAGAGTAGGTTGGACAAAGCGGAGGAATGCTAGTGGGGTTTTATGTGATAAACGAATACTAAATAAATTGAAAGGGAAAGTTTATAGAACAATCATTAGACGAATTATTTTATATGGGGCGGAGTGTTGGGCCTTAAAAATGAAACATGAACAAGGCATCCATGTGGCGGAAATACAGATCTTAAGATGGATGTTAGGAGTAATTGGGCAAGATAAGATTAATAATCGAAGGTTTAGGGAGAAATTAGTTATGGCTCCTATTAGTGAGAAAATAAGAGAATAGATTGGAAAAAGAGAATCTATGTAGGTTTGTACGGGAAAAAGGCAAGGATGATGATGATGAATGTGGTGGTATATTCTATGCCTACGCAATATATATTGTGTTCCACAGACTCATAAAATTGAGGTCAACGAAAACTAACCTGAAATGAAGTAATAAGAAATTATTTAAATAACTTAAATCTGGTAGGAGAAATGGCTTATGATAGATAAAAAATAAAAAAAAAATAAAAAATAAAAAAAAATAAAAATAAAAAAATAAAAAAAAAAAATTGGAAAAAGAGAATCCATGTGGCTGACCCCGTTTGTACGGGAAAAAGGCAAGGATGATGATGATGAATGTGGAATCTTCTATGCCATGTTTCTCACAAGGTGCAATATATATTGTGTTCCACACACTCATAATTGTGTTTGTGCATGGAGGGGTTGCGAATAGCATGTTTGAAGCATCTCTTGCCTTGTTTGTGTGTGTGAAGGAGAGGCATTGGGCATTGAAAAGCTGAGATTTTAATTAAACTTTGTTAGGCAAGTTGTTGTGAAGATACGCAGAAAATTGCTTCTTGTGGAGGAGTGTAGTGGAAGGAAAATTTGGGAGCATGTTAGGTGTGATTTCATTTTTCAAACTTCGCAAATACCTTACATATTTGATTATTTTTGTGTGCATTATTGTTTTTTATTAGGGTTGTAAAATGGAATTGTGAAATTAAATGTGATGATAGTGTACCCAGGAATTGTCACTTCAAAGCTATGAAGCACGGACACGGGTACGACATGATACGGACACGGCAAGGATTCGGCCATAATATAATTATTTTATTATTATATATAAAATTAATTTCTTGTTCAACTGGTCATAGATACTCATAAACATAACCCATTTGAATTAAGCCTACCAACTAACCTACGTATATATTTTTAAATATAAAGTCCATAAGCCTAAATTCGATTAAAATATAAATATAATATCCAAAAGTCACAACCCCTCCCCCCCTCCTTTTTTTTTTTTTTTTTTTTTTTCAAAAGTTTTTTATGTAGATGATATAAAGAAATTTACAGGCAGAACCTAGACCCAAAGTAATGGGAAAGCCCATATAACAGCCTAAAGGCTTACAACTGATCAAAGACAGGTGTAGTATAAAAGAAACCATAAAAGATAAGATTGTAAACTTGTAATCTTATCCACCACCATCTCTCTCCCACTCTCTCTTTGATCTTCTGGCTGTTATGTTCTCATCCCCTCCATCTCTACCTCTCTCCTTCGCACACGGCTCCCTCTCTCCCAGAGGATTCTCCCTCATCCCTTCCATCTCTTCACAAGTTTTAGATCGTATCTTTCTTTAAATGTGTGTGTGTATATATGTATATATATAATTTAGATATATGTGTACATGCACACACCACACACAAAATTGATCAGGATCACATCAGATATGGAACTATTTGGCTCTCTCTCCTCATCTTCTTCATCTCCATATGTGTATAAAAAAGAAAAGTCTTGCGTGTCCGGACATGTACTAAAAATGAAAAAACAATACAGGACACATGTCGGACACCGGTATGTCCTCTATCCCTGGCATGTCCATGCTTTGTAGCTTCAAAGTGAATTCTCACTACATTCATCTATACGATTAAATTCTAGATCTAGTATGGATCCTTCTGAACTGCATTAAACTTGTATCATCTTATTGGATAGGTCTGTGGAAGAGCATTGGCTATGGCTAGTGGGAAGAGGGCAAACGTTAGGAGTTTGAATGGTTCGCTTCGGGGGGAGGGTCCTACGAAGTTTAGATCTATAATCTGTTTAGGATTATGGTTGGTAAGAAGCAATCAGTATCTGACTATGTGAGTTTTATAGAGAGCAGTGTGGTTTAGGATCCCAAGTTTGGTTGGTAATTTAGAGTTGCGTTAAGAGTGGAGTGTTGTTTACATTCACACGTTCTACGGGTTTATGTGCAAATGAAAGCCCTTAGGAGGGGAAGATTTGAGGTTAGGTCTTTTAATATAGTCTTTGAGCGGGGATCTCAAATCTTCCTTGGAAGGTCACTTGGTATACTGAAGTACCTTCCAAATTGGCTTTATTTGGTTAGACAAAACCTTAGAGAAGTTCTTAACCATAGATGACTTGGCACACAAAAAACTTATTCATAACTGGTGTTGTTTGGGTGAGTGAAAAAACGAGACAGAAAAGTGTTGATCCATTGTTTAAATGCATGGGAATTATAGTCCCTCTCTCCTTTGGTCTCTGAGTTAAAAACGTGTGGATAGTTACATCATTGTGCTTTGGCGGTACATTTGGAAGGAAATCAACAGTTGACACTTGAATTAGTGGAGTCACGGGTTTCAGAATTGGATTTGTTTCCGAACTAAGAAGCACGAACACTTCTATGAATCTGCCATGTTCATGTTGGAGATTTGTCGAACACCAACTTTTCACGGACACTCCTTGACACTTGTCTGATAGTTCTTGAACCTGTCCATAATTTAAAAATAAATTCCATTATTTTGGACTTTGGAGACAACTGGCCTACACATTCCATACACTCCAACAAAAGTCTTTTATAAATGCAAACACATTTAAAAGTAGTCATGATCGACCATCTTCAAATAATATTTACACACCTTAAAGTGTCGAGACTTATTTTCCTATACAAGTCAATTATGCAATGATTCTTTCAAATATGACCAAAATATAATGCAATGACTCTTTCAAATATGCCTGTGCTACTTGGTTTCTGAGCTCCCCATATGTTTAGCAGTTATCTGGGAGTTCCCTTGTGATTTTTTTTTTCCCCTGCCCCGGGTGATTTGGTGTTATAGCTGGAGATTGCCGATAATTTAGAAGTTACTTTACAACTATTAACTATGTAAATATCCAGTTTCATTAATGAATGTGTGTTTGTTTCTAGCTCAAATACTGACCATAGTTTTTCTTTTAAATTTTATTTTAGTTTTGTATAGTTGCCCAATATTGACTGTTGTAACATGTGGTTCTTGGTGCTTCCAGTTCTGTTGTGGAAGGGCTCAATGAAAATGGTAGGGCTTTAAACTAGTAGCTCTGAAATTCCTGCAGGTTCTATGTTGGATGCCGAACCATCGTGGCCTAAGATTAATTATTCTGTGGCGTCATAGTACGGGCTTGTGCTGTGGGTCTTATTTGTTGGATTCTGTTCGATCTCCCACTTCCCACAAGCCTGCCTCCAATTGCCATGACATTTAACTTTCCTTCACTCACATTGAAAGAAAGAATGAGGTTGCAGACAAAAAATAGCATCACACAGTTCCTTCGCACCCCCTACACTAGCGCGCACACAGATATTAAGTTGGCTTAAAATTTCTTATAACAGTATTTTTGTTTGCATAATTACTTGTGATTATTATTATTATTATTATTATTATTATTATTATTATTTCTTCTGGGTAATCTGGTGTTGTAGAGTGTTCATAAGTCTCTCTCTATGTGTGTGTGTGTGTGTCCATGCGAAGAAATTGAATCAATTTTTGGAAGTTCAAAGCTTCAAAGTCCAAAAGAACCAGTTATTTGTTGCTATTCTCAATTGGAGTGGAAGAGCATTGCTGAGAATTTTGGAGTTACTTTACGACTATTAACTGTAAATATCCATTTTCATTAGTGAATGTGTGTTTTTTTGTAGCTCAAATACTGACCATAGTTTTTCTTCTAAATTTTATTTCAATGTTGCATGGTTGCCCGATATCAACTGTTGTAACATATGGGTTCTAGGTGCTTCTAGTTCTGTTGTTGAAGGGCTCAATGAAAGTGGTGGGGCTTTAAACTAGTAGCTCTGAGATTCCTGCAGGTTCTCTGTTGGATGCCGAACCATTGTGGCCTAAGATTAATTATTTCATGGTGCCATAGTACGGGCTTGTGCTGTGGGTCTTAGTTGTTGAATTCTCTTCAACCTCCCACTTCCCACAAGTCTGCCTCCAAATGCCATGACATTTTACTCTCCTTTACTTGTATTGAAATGAAAGAATGAGGTTGCAGACAAAAACAAAGATATTAAGTTAGCATCACACAGTTCCTACCCCCAACCCACACTTGCACAAAGATATTAAGTTAGCTTAAAATTGCTTATAACAGTATTTTTGTTTGCATTTGCTGATATGATTTCACCCTTGCTGGATGCAGTTTTGGGGTCATTATCCTTTTCACCAACTGTAGAGGTACTGCATTGTCATCTTTGCTTTGGAACTTAGCTGAGTATGTTCCTAGCATTCAACTTCCTTATGGTGACGAGGTTTTTTGCAGGGATCGGTGGCTCAAGACAGTGGGGGCTCTACTTCATCTCAATCAGACAGTAGCGAGTATGAGCCTGTGGTGAAGTCACACTCTTCTCATCGTAGCTTCTCAAGTCGCCGCTGCTTTATGTCTAAACCCATCCACCCTGTGTCTTTTCCACCTGAAACACCTACAAGAGAATCTGCGGATGCCACTATTGCTGGGTTTTCAGAGTATGATACTGCCACTCCACAAAGAGAGGTGCACCGTTTGAGCAGTGCTAGTGGTAGTATTGATTTTGCTGACGTTGCCGAGTCATTTGAATCTGACTTTTACAGTCGTTCATGTAATCCATCAGAGGGTTTTAAATGTGGATTGTGTGAGAGGTTTCTTTCGCAAAGGTCACCATGGGGTTCTCGTCGAATTGTGAGAAGTGGAGACTTGCCGGTTGCTGGAGTTCTTTCATGCCAGCATGTTTTCCATGCGGAATGCTTGGACCAAGCAACACCAAAAACGCGTAAAAGTGACCCACCTTGCCCTCTCTGTGTACGATCGGAGGAAGAAAATTCCCCAGAGCAGCCAGTGTTTTCCAAGTTGAGGAATGGTTTCCCTAGGCTCAGACCTTTTTGTGAGGATGGACCATCAAAGCCGTGGGGATGCGCACATGCAGGTGATTGTGTTGAAGGGGCTTTGCATGCGCCCCCTCGCAACACTATGTTGTTACTCAACCGGAATCGCATTAAAAAGAATCTTTCCTTGAAGGGTAAATCAGGCAAGGAATTTCCCGGTAAATTGAAGAAAAGTGGCTCATATTCGTCGCAGCTGTTAATTGGAAGGTCTGTTGATCATGGAGCAGTTGGGTCTTCGAAGACAACAGCAGGACCTAATATGAAGTGAAGCTGGAAATTGTGTACATATCTGGAGACATTTTCTAATGGAGGTAATGGTCTTTCCTTCTTGTTTTCTAATTGATTGTGTCTCTCTCACTTAGATGATCTGATTTTTGATTAATCAGATTGTATGATTGTGATCTGCGTTGTTTGTAGTTTTAATTTAGTGGGAAATGTCGGTTGAAATTACAGGCCACCGAGATAAATTATTCCATGTTTTGCATTTTTGTTCCAGCCATTTTGGTTTTTGATGCCAAATGAAAGCGCATTAAGCCCTAGTTTTTTCATGCTGGAATTTGAAATCTTGAAGATATGTTGCTAAGATGGTTTTGACTCAGATGTTCCTCCGACCGGCCTCGCCTTTTTTCAACCTTATTTCTATCTAAAATTAGTACATTGTTAATTCTGTGTGTGTGTAAAACCATTTCACTTTCTCGAACTATGCTTATGTTCCATCATTCACTCAACATAAACATTTTCAAGGCAATTTTTTCATAACTTGAAATTTCAGTTACCCCGCTAATGTATATGAAAAATGAAGAGACTTATGGTCATTTAAATTTTACAGTTGGACCTGTATTTTTTTATTTTTTATTTTTCTCCCCCTATTTGGTACTCACACATCCCTCTCCAAAAAATCGTTTGTACCTAGCTGGAATCGATTTATGATTGTGTCTCTTCAAGGAATTTTTATTTTATTTTATTTATGTTTTATGTAATAAAACTATGATAATCTTACAATACCAAACTAATAATAATAATAATAATAATAATAAGGGCTAAAAGAAGTCTAATAAGTAAAATGGTTAAAGAAGTAAAATTTGGAAAGCTAAACCGTATTCATCCAGAGGTATTTTCAATTTTTTTTTTTATTTTTTTTTTTGACAAGTAAATGTTAGAGAAAAAATATACAAAAATAATTTATGGTTAATCGTTAATCTAATAAAGGACTAATATACTGGCAAATAAAGAATGTTGTAGGCTGCATGGATTATAAATGCAATTTTACTCCTCAATGTAAGTCGAATGCATATTTTTTAGCAATATTGTTTGACCTGAATTTTTTTTATTATTATTACTTTGGTATATATATATATTTTTTCTTTTTCTTTATTTGTCATGCTTGATTTTAAAATTAATGCTTTGGTGTTTTTTTTTCTCTAATGCTTTAGTTGGTTTAAAAAACTAATAATTATTACTATTATTAGTGGTTATTTCCACCACATGCACCAATAAACAATAAAAACAATATTATGTGCACATTTTACATAAAAGAGCCAGGCAAACAAGTCCTATATCTACAATGTCTACATCTAGTAATCTAATAGTATTAGTGCACGACTTTCTACATCTACTAATCTAACTTTTAACATTTTTTGTTTTAAAAAAAAAAAATGTATATATATATATATCCTATAAAGCATAATCAATCCAAGTATAACCACATGTGCCACAATTTTAATATCAATATCATGCCTTTGAGTTACAATTACAGTTACATGAAGTCAAACTTTAAATAGGTAAATTCTTTAAATTTGCTAGATGAACATGAAAATTATTTTGAATTACCTAATATGTCATTTTTACTTCTTAAGTGAATTATTTCAGGATAATAGTAGTACTGAATACTGATGGTACACAAATTTTATCTAGTTGCACATAAATTGTATTTAAGTGAACAAAAGCGCTACTTGCATCTAAAAAATACAAAGTTGCACATAAATTGCATCTGAGTGAACAATAGTGGTGGTTCGAACCAACTTTTTTTAAAACATATTCTCAATGTAAAAAGGGCATATTAGGTAAGTCAAAATAATGCAAAATTTTGAAGAACTCACTTATTTAAAATTTAAAAAGTTTGAAAGAATCCATTAACTTCATGCATGGTGATGGAAAAATATCCTGTTTTGTCGAATACCCATCCCATCTCGCCCATTTAGAATAGTCATGGGGATAGTTAAATGGTTTTGGGAGCAAGGATGTGGATTAGGATTAAAAAGCCAATTATGGGGCGAGGATGGGGAAATGTCACCCTCCCATTTATATGATAAATTATAATTTTGTCCTTATATTTTATTTTATATTCAATAATATTATGTATACATTAGGCAAATCTTGGTTTATTTTATTTCAATCATTATATATTCATTTGTATTATTATTATTTGAGAACTTTTATGTATTATTTTTATGTAACTATAATAATATTAAATCTCAAGTTCCAATTAAGAAGTTGAATTTTGTTTTTATTCACAAAAGAGAGAATGAACAATTACGAAAACAATTAAGACGAATTTTTTTGTTTTTGTTTCATTATTTACTTTCATTATATTCATAAACTATTACGAAAACACTCTACAAAACCCACCTCGCCCTGTCCGGTTTAATAAACAATTTCCGACGGAGATGGAGATGACGTTTTCTGCCATTGCCATATGTAATTCAGTGCTGTAAATTGTTAATAGACTCTGCCATTATGTTGGCACTGGAGAGAGAAAAAAGAGACAGAGGACCCACGTTTTAGAGAGAGGGTGATGACTGATGTTGGAGGGAGAAAGTGAAATCCGGGCCAAACCTAGAAATTTGACAAATTCTTAATTTTTTTTTGTTTTAAAGATATAGATAGATTTTTCTAGACTATTAAAGTTGTCCAAAAAATCTAGAAAAGAGTAAATGATAAAAATCTTAAAAAAGAGTAAAAAAAAAAAAAAAAATTGTAATTTAATACATTAAAAATGGAAAAATCTAGAAACTAAAGGAAGGAGAAGTGGGCTATAAATAAGAAAGGAATGCCCGTACAAACCAACTTACCAAGCTTAAACATCTAGTTTACCCGTGTATATGATGTCTAAAAAAATAAAAAGTTTTTCAATAAATTCTACTTCTCAAATATTCAAAATAATTCATCACCTTTAAATATTGGAAATCAAAATTGATTTCATGTTCATGGATAACAAAATGTGTGACATTTATAAAGTGATTGTTTGGAGGGGAGAATCCATGTGGTCAGAAGGAATACAATGGCCATGAGTGCTGGAAGGATAAAGGAAACCCAATAGTCAACACTAATCATTAGACAGATTACGAGAAAGAATAAATAAACTGATTCAAATAAATATTATAGGTTAAAGAAAAATATATATAAATTATTATTGATTGTAATATATTACTGTCCTAACATGCTTATTAGAAGGATAAAAATAAATAAATATTTATATATATATATGAATTGTCTGAAAAACTTGTTTTTGAAATTCATTCCTTCGTGAATCTAAGCCCATGTTCTGTTACGTAGAAAAACGAGAACAAGAGAGTTTCTTGGAGTCTTCTACTCTCATTTAATTCCAACACTCTAATACATTTTCTATTTAAATTAGAAAATGACTAAATTCCTATTTCGCTAAAAAAATTGAAATCCCAATACATGTACCATTCCACTTCAATTAATTTAATTGTGCACAACTTAACACACCCTAACTAATTTGCTCGTGGAGGAGACTAAACAATAAGTTTCTTCTTCTCTATAATTTTTTCTCATATTCTTTTTTATTTAAGTTGTAATTTTCTAATTTTTAAATTTTGTCAAGGTTATATGTACTATGACTAATATTTAAATAAAATTATCTTACATGGATGATAGGGCTAATTTGGAGGATCTATGTAAATAAAATTTTGAAAATTAAAGTCTCCTACATTAGTTACCCTTTTTATATATAAATAAGAAATATTATTTTAGCCTCCACAAGAATAGATAAAAGGGAAAATAACACTAGCAAGTCTACGTGTTAGATTAATGAATTTTTTTATAAATGAAACACCATAGATTTTTTTTTCTTAGTTGATACTCACACACACATTCCTCCTATGAGGTTTGAACTTCTAATTTCTCTTTGGGAAGTAAGTGATCTAATACCGTTAGGCCATCAGCCTGTTAGTAACTTAATGAACTCTTTGGTTTAATTTTTTAGAATATTTCTCTATGATAGTACAAAAAAATATTTGATTGATAATTTCTTTTTCTTTTTTCTTTTTTTGGAAACTTAGTTAATAAATGCATGTTTAAAAAGAAATATTTTATAATTATTTAAAATTTGTTTTTCAAAGTACTGTTTTCATGAATATTGGGCTTTGGGATGTCTCAATGTCACGGGGTTTGGTGGCCTTTTTTTGGTTAAACCTTCTTCTCGCTTTTGATGCTACTCTTCCGGCCCTTTTGTATACATGTATAATATCACGCACTGTTCATTTTCAGATCTCCTACATCCACATGTTCGTTTGATTCCAATCACATCTATTGAAAGTACTGAAGAACAGCGGCAGACTGACAGAAAATTCAGCCTGAAAACCTTCTTCCGTCATTTTCACGTGCCCAAACGTGGCATTTTCTTCCGTCACGCATCATTGCTTCGTGTCAAAACCTTTGCATCTAAAGGTTTGCTAGGTCAACTCAAAGTTGAGTCTTTTGATTGTATTTTATCTAATTAAAAACAATTTATATTGTCATTTAATAAAAGTCTTTTACTTCTTTTGATCTTACTCATTATGATGTTAATTAGGGGCCTTATTTAGTGTCTACCACGGGGGATCACGATATTTTTTTATACCCGTTGATGATTTATCACGGCCACATGAACATTTTTGATGAAAAATCGTTCTAAATGGATTAAGATTTTACTAAAATGACTTAAACTCAAAATATTACATTCTGACACTACTTTCTAATATCGGCAAAATAAAATTTGAAAAATCGTCCAACATTATAGTACTATTTTTTCACATTTCTTGTTCATGCATATCACAACAGAATGGTTGGGCTAAGCCAAGGACGGATACAGAAACTTAAGGCGGGGGGTTAAATAATTTTAGGGGGGCAAAGGTAATAAATATTTCATAAGTATATATATCATAAAGTTAAAATAGTGGGGTAAAATAGTGAGGAAAAAAAATTCAGAGGGGGCAATTGCCCCCACTGAAGTGTACATGGCACCGTCCTGGGCTAAGCACAAACTAGGTAGAGTTGGTTCGTTCGCTTGTCTTTTTTACTTATGTGCCTTCCTTCTTTTGGGATGAAGTAGCTTTCGCCATCGTCTATACCACAAATCGTGTAGCTTCACCACTCTTACACAACCAAACACCTTATGAACATCCTTATGGAAAGCTTCCTGACTACGGTCACCTTAGAGTCTTTGGGCCGATGTGCCTCTTTTTGTTCTTCTCCAACCTCATGAGTGCACCAAATTATAGTCATGCTCTCAACTTTGTTGTTTTCTTAGGTATGTACTTGAACAAAATGGGTATCGATATTATGATCTTGTCGCTAAATAACTCAGAGGCTCGA